CTGGGTCTTAGATGCCTGATACCTGATCCCATTGACACCTCATGATCACACAGGCTGGTGTGCTTCTTCCATGAGGGCTTTGTTGCTTCCAAGCTAGATGGCCGCTTGTTTTTCTTCAAGCCTTTAAGACCCTAGACACTATATCTTTTGATAGCCGGGCACCATCAGCTTTCTTCACCACATTTGCTTATGCACCCATTTTGTCTTCAGTGATTGTGTCAGGAAGGTGAGCACCACAGAATGCCGGATTGTTAAAACAAAGTGGTCTTGTGTTGAGTGAGTACTTGAGTCTAGGTCCAATGTCCATCTGCAAACTTAATTCTTAATGTATAGATATGAGTACATAGTTCTATTCCCCTTGTTATATATATATATGTTTACATATGTACATGGCTGTATTTAGGCCTCTATAAATGTCCTTTGCCTCCTGGTTCTTTCCTCTATTTACTTTTGCTTTCCTCTTGTCCCACTATCATGTTTGGCCTTCATCTGGGTTTAGTAATTCCTAGCTGCTACATTGCCCTTGATTAAGCCCCATTAGGCATTCTACAACCTTCCTTCCATTGATTATAGTTTACTTGTTCTTCCCTTGTCCTTGGGTTGGTTACCCCTACACCCTTCTTTTCTCTCACCTCCCCTTCTCCCATACCCCACCCCCTCCCCCGGAACCATAGGTGCCGTTCTTTTCATCTCTGAATTATTTATCCTGCCTATCTTATCTTGATAGGCATGCAGATACATTAACAAGTGCAAAAAACGAGGAAAAGCCAAATAAAACAACAAACGAAGTCTAAACTAACAAAACAATAACAGCAGAAACAAGAACAAAATAACAATAACAAAAAGAAAGCCACTGACAAAAATGGAAAAGCCTATAAATAGTTCAAGGTCTGTTTGTTGGCCTTTACGAGTGTTTTCCAGTTGAGTCTGATGATATGCCACACTGTCTCCAAAGTGTATTTTTGGTATTCCCCGGGGGTTTCATCACTCTGCTTCCCCTGCTGCTCTGTTGCATGCCCTCAGTGCCTCACTCCAGCGTGATGGGACCAGACAATGCACTATTCCCACACTGTGTCTCCAGTGCTGTCCCTCGCAGCATCATGATTCAGTGAGGGACACTGGGTCCCGTGGTGGGGCTAGCCCTACCGTCCTCCCCGTGCGTTGTCTCCTCTGAGCAGGAACATCGTCCTCATGGCTTGGTGGGCCAGGATGTCTTCTCCTCCCTCTCCATCCCTTTGCGTTTCTCCCGTGTGCTTGAATCTGAGGCTCCCCTCTCCCCAAGCTGTAGCCCCACTGCTGTCCTCTGAAGTGCATTCTTCTGAGGGGGCAGGGAGGTGTCCACATAGTTGGGGTTGGGGCCAGCCCCACAGACCTCTCTTGGTTCCCTGGTGTATGCTGGTATGTTGTATTCACATCTTGGTGCATCTGGTTGAGACTCTTATAGGTCTTATAACAATCCATGCATTCATTTTGTTAAGCACACTTGTACATATGTTGCCATCATCATTTTCAAAACATTTTCTTTCTACTTTAGCCTTTGGAATCAGCTCCTCATTTTTTTCTCCCTTCCATACCCTCCCACCCTTATGAACCCTTGATAAATTATAAATTATTATTCTTTTCATATCTTATACCATCCACTGTATCCCTTCACCCATGTTTCTGTTGTTTGTCATCCTGGGAGGGGAAGGGGGCAGTTATACATTGATCATTTAACTTCGATCCATAATCTACATCCATGCAAACATGAGTCAAGAAAACAATATACCCCCCAGAAAAAGTAGCAGGAGTAACAGTTTCCTGAGCGTATGGGAAGAGGGATGGAGGAAGCGGGGAAGGGAGAGCTGACAGCAATGATGACTGTATAATCCCACTAGAGGGGAGTGAACAACAGAGCTGTAGGTAAATGGATAGATTAGATGGTGTAAGATTACGGCAATATATATAGTTATAATATATTATATATAATGTTATTATATATAATAATAATAAGGGTTCAGGGGAGAGGGGATAAAGAGGAGCAGATATCAAGGAGATCAAGAAGAAGGAGAATGTTTGGAAACTGATTGTGGTAGCAAGTGTACAATATTGCTTGATGTGACTGAAGTATGGAATGCTACTATATCTGTAAGAGCTCCCAATAAAATGTCTTTTTTTAAAGAAAGAAAATCCCATAGCTAAGATCATTCTCACTGTCAAAAGACTGAAAGCTTTCTCCTTAGGAGCAGTAAACTGACACGTATGTCTCTCTTGCCATTCACTGAAAAAGAACAAAAGAAAAGAATACCTTGCATTGGGCAAATATACCACAAAAGTCCTCTTTGAAGTATTAGCCAGTCAATCTGTCACTTTAAGGAATAGGTATGCTTTGCCCAAAGCATGGTCTTTTTGATCCCCTCACATGCAAATGAGAGTCAAGAACAGACGCCTATGGTGTTGGTGGAGAAAGCTGGATGTATCATGGCCTGTCGAGAGAACCAATGAGTAAGATTTGTAAGAGCCACCCCCCCCCAACAAAATGATTAGTAAATTTTCTAAAGAGAGAGACCTAACGAATCTGTGGAGGAAGTACAACCAGAATATACCTTGGAAGCAAGGGTGATGAAACTTGTGTACTGCAGACATGTTATTGGGAAGAACCAGTCACATTATGCTTACAGTATTAGTTCCCAGGAAAACTATCAGCAAGATGGATTGACAATAATGAGTGGCTGCAATAATAGGCTCAAACATGGCAGTCATTGAGGGCAGGGCGCAGGACCAGGCAGAGCTGTAAGGTTGATATGTGTCAGAATTGACTGCGTAGCACCCAACAACTACTTATGGAAGAATGTGCATTGCACCTAGTAAGAGTAGGAACTAATCCAGTTTGAAAATTGCCAAGAGAAACATCTTCTTTAAGATTTACAGGACAAAAATAGTTCCAGAATCTTAAATATAGCTTATTTTCCTCCCATTTAAACAAGCTTAAGTGGAATACACACACATCCTAGAACAGCAATATATATATATGAATTTTTATATCAATAACAATTGCAATTGATAATTGTAATATATATATATATATTGGAATTGTTAATCTCCTACTGGTTAATATATTAAATCCCCTTATTAACAAATCAAGAAACCAGTAAAGGCAAAAGAAAAAAGTAACAAAACAAAACAACAACGAAAACCACGGCTGTCTCTAGAACAACGCCGGATGGAAGGTACCGTATTGTCAGGGCCACCAAGATCGCCACCCGCTGGCCATGCTGAGTCCTTGCCATCCTTGGCTGTTTCGCAGTGAGAGACGCAGCCCAATTTAGCAACCTTCACTGTGGCTACAGAGCCATCTGGTGGCTCTTTATAGTAAAAGTTCCAGGGAAATTGATAGTATGCGTCTAAGAACCAGTGCTGGGCACAAATCCTTGTTTGTATTCTGTGAAATCCATTTCTTCACCAAGCACAGTGTGAGAGTTTGTAGTACGTGAAAAGGTTTCAGCGATGGTCGGTGTAAGAACTGACAGGCGCTTGCATTCTGGGAAATGTCAGTTTAAAAAGTAACATGTTTATGTATCCGCAGCCCCACAAACCAATTTACTGCTAGGTCAGGAGAAATGCTGACCTAGAAATGCCTTTTCAATGTGACAAGAAAACAGTAACAATGGACAAGAAAGCTTTCCGATCTTCAACCATTCTCCAACCCTGGCTACCTTTGCATGGGGGTGGGGGTGGGGATTTCTATAGAACTCATCAGATCTCTCCATGTTTTAATGTTTCTGTCAAGCCGTGTAGGTCAATGTCAGTGTCTGGAAGAGAATATTTATAGGTCTCCTTTCTGCTTGGCATTATCATGTTTTCAGCAAGACAAAGACAGTGCAGCCACAGTTGAGCTCTGTTGTGAATGGCAGTTGGGTTCCTTAGTTTTGACTGCTATGCCTCCTGAAAAAGAAAAATCTAATAGAAATCTTTAGCGTACCATTTAAAATGGAACAATGTAATTTCCGGAAACACTTGGAATAGGCTTGCAACCTTTATCAAATAATAAGGGACATTTGAGATCCAGATTAACTCTGTAGATAAAAATATATTGTGATGAGTATTTTATTAATTTAAAAATATTTTTTTTTAGCCTGCATTTTTATTTGGTTAAAAGTTTGCAGAGCAGTTTTCCCTTGAGCACTTCATGCACAGTTTGCTGCATGCCATTATTTGCAATCCCTGTGCTGCAACGGCACTCATTGCACTTCTTCCCTGCATTTCCCATTTCCATTGATCCTTCTTTTCTGTCCCCTGGCTGCTAAACTTTGCACCTTGCAAATGCTGCCCTTTGATCTCTGTGCTTGATTACTCTCCTACTCCAAGGTGTTATTATTCATCAGACCCATGTATTGTTTAGCTGAAAACTGGACTTTGAGGGGTTTTAGTTCTAAACTCAGTGGGTGACTGTGGGCCATAGTTTCAGAGATTCCACCAGTCTATCCAATCAGTAAACCTGATTCTTTTTTATAATTTTGACTTTTGTTTTTCCTCCACTTTGTCCAGAGCATTCTACTATGACCCCTTTCAGAGCCGTCAGAAGTGGCAGGTGGGCACCATCAAGCTCTTCCTGGTCTCAGAGTCTTGGGGGCTGAAGTTGGTGTGGTCCGTTATTCCTAGTTTCCATCTGTTTTTTATTTTATTCACTTTTTTCCATTACTCCTAGTTTCCATCTGTTTTTTTATTTTATTCGCTTTTCTTTGCTCCAGATAAGAAGAGATGGAATACTTTTGCCTTAGATGGTCACTCGCAAGCTTTAAGACCATAGTAACTACTCCCCAAAGTACAATGGTGAATATTTTCTTTGTGGACTATTTGGACTAATTGATCCTGATGCCCCCAAGACCGGTGTTTTCAGCCCAGCAATTCATTTTCTCAAGATGTTTGGTTTTGGTTAAAAAGTTTTCATAACTGTGACCCTGTATGTTCTACAATATTCATGGATAAATTTTGTAACATATGGAGTCTGCGCGCCCCCCTCTCGCTCCTGTCTTCGTCCTCCTGCCCGTGACGCCGCCGCTGCCGCCATGAGAGAAATTGTGCACCTGCAGGCCGGGCAATGCGGAAACCAGATTGGCGCCAAGTTCTGGGAGGTGATCAGCGACGAGCACGGCATCGACCCCACCGGGACCTACCACGGCGACAGCAACCTGCAGTTGGAGCGGATCAATGTCTATTATAATGAGGCCACCGGTGGTAAGTACGTGCCACGGGCCGTGCTGGTGGACTTGGAGCCCGGCACCATGGACTCGGTGCGCTCTGGGCCATTCGGACAGATTTTCCGTCCGGACAACTTCGTCTTCGGTCAGAGTGGTGCTGGCAACAACTGGGCCAAGGGGCACTACACAGAAGGCGCAGAGCTGGTCGACTCTGTGCTGGATGTGGTCAGGAAGGAGGCGGAGAGCTGTGACTGCCTGCAGGGCTTCCAGCTGACCCACTCGCTGGGCGGTGGCACTGGCTCCGCCATGGGCACGCTGCTCATCAGCAAGATTCAAGAGGAGTACCCCGACCGCATCATGAACACCTTCAGCGTGGTGCCCTCGCCCAAGGTCTCTGACACGGTGGTGGAGCCCTACAACGCCACGCTGTCTGTGCACCAGCTGGTGGAGAACACGGATGAGACCTACTGCATCGACAACGAGGCCCTCTACGACATCTGCTTCCGCACCCTCAAGCTGACCACACCCACCTATGGGGACCTCAACCACCTGGTGTCGGCCACCATGAGCGGTGTCACCACTTGCTTGCGCTTCCCCGGCCAGCTCAATGCCGACCTGCGCAAGCTGGCCGTCAACATGGTGCCCTTCCCACGCCTGCACTTCTTCATGCCAGGCTTCGCGCCGCTGACCAGCCGGGGCAGCCAGCAGTACCGTGCCCTGACCGTGCCCGAGCTCACCCAGCAGATGTTCGACGCCAAGAACATGATGGCTGCCTGCGACCCTCGCCACGGCCGCTACCTAACGGTGGCCGCTGTCTTCCGGGGCCGCATGTCCATGAAGGAGGTGGACGAGCAGATGCTCAACGTGCAGAATAAGAACAGCAGCTACTTCGTGGAGTGGATCCCCAACAACGTCAAGACGGCCGTGTGCGACATCCCACCCCGGGGCCTAAAGATGTCGGCCACTTTCATTGGCAACAGCACGGCCATCCAGGAGCTGTTCAAGCGCATCTCCGAGCAGTTCACCGCCATGTTCCGGCGCAAGGCCTTCCTGCACTGGTACACGGGCGAGGGCATGGACGAGATGGAGTTCACCGAGGCTGAGAGCAACATGAATGACCTGGTGTCCGAGTACCAGCAGTACCAGGACGCCACGGCCGAGGAGGAGGGCGAGTTTGAGGAGGAGGCCGAGGAGGAAGTGGCGTAGGGCGGCCGGCAGGGAAGCAGAAGCATTAGCGGTGTGAACTCTTTATTCACTCTCAGCCTGTCGGTGTACACGTCTCACTGTCCTGCACTTGCTGTCCTTCTGTCTCACATCACACTCTGTACAGACACCTCCATTAAAGCATTTTCATAGTGAAAAAAAAAAAAATTTGTAACATATGTAAATACTCATGTACAAATATTCTGTCAAACTTTTATCTATTCGTGGATCTAGTCCCATTCTCCTTCCCACAAATGCTCAGCTTGCATCTCTGTCTCTGTATCCACTCCCAGGTTGCTGTTACTATTGTTGCAGGACTGTGCATGTGTCTTTAACGTTTGTATGCCTCCCAGTGTTTTCTGCTGCCTTGATCATTTTGTGCTGGTCCCTTCGTTATTGTGTATTGCCTCGGCATATGACTACCCTAGTTAGTAATATACCCTCCCTTTCCTTTCCACCTTTGGTAACCATTAAAGCATGTTTCTTTCTGTGTGAAAATTCTACTTGACTTTTCTTTAATAGTGGTCTCAGCAGGAGAATGATTAGGCTGTCTACTCCCATGAAGAGTTACAGCCTGAGAAACTCAGCGGGGCAGGTCTAGACTGCCCTGTGGGGTCGCCATGAGTCAGTGTTGACTAAATGGCAGAGTTTGGTCTGGTCTGCTATATTATTTATTCTTTTGTGATTGCTTTATTTCACTCAACCTAATGGCCTATAGGCTCATTTATGTCATGACATGTTTTTCAGGTTCTTTATTATTCTTTAATGTTATGTATTAGTCCATTGGATGTGCGTAATGTAATTTGCTTATCAATTCTTCAATTGATGCATATTTAAGTTGTTTACATCTTTTCGCTATTGTGGATAGGACTGCAATTAACATGGGTGTACATGTTGCGACTGGTTTCTCTAGGAGCTATTGTAAGTACAGAGCTTGCTGAATCATATAGCATTTCTATTCTTCACTTGTTAAAGAAGCACCATGCAATTTTCACAATGGTTGTGCTGTTTAGCAATCCCATCAGCAGTGTAGGAGGGTTCCAGACTCCTAACACCCTGGTCAACATTGTTATTTTGGAATCTTTGAACTTTGCTATTAATGTTGGAGTGAGATGATAGCTTGTTGCTTTGATTTGCAACTTTTAATGACTAGTGATTTTTGAGCATTTCATCATATGTTTGTTGGCCACCTCATTATCTCCTTTGGTGAAATATTTATGTCCTCCACCAATTTTAAAACTGGGTTATGTATCTTTTTGTGTGTTGAGTTGCTGAAGTTTTCCATACATTTTACAGATTAATACATTGTGTGATAATGTTGTTGCCAAAAAGATTTTCCCAGACTATAAAGTTTCTCTTTTCACTCTTTTGGTGAAATCTTTTGATAATTAAAAGTGTTTAATTTTTAGGAGGTCCCGATCATTTAGCTTGTCTTCGACTGTGTGTTTTTGGTCCATGTTTTTAAAATTATTTTTTTATTAAAAGATCATTACAGCTCTTATGACAATCCATATATCAATTATATCAAGCGTATTTGTGCGTATGTTGCTATCATCATTTTTTGTAGTATATGTATGCCATGTATTAGGACCCCTAAGTTTTCCCTTATTTTTTCTTTGATGGTCATTATAATTTTAGGTTTTACATTTAAGTCTTAGATCCATCTTGAGATAGTATTTGTATACGGTGTAATATATGGATCTTATTTAATTTTCCTGAAAATAGGTATCAAGTTTTGCCAGTACCATCTTTGTGATAGATTTTTTTGTGCGAACATGACACCTGTAAGAAGATATGGGTGGAGTCTAGGCTGTCAATTAGGTTGCAGCTTGATTACCTCCTTTGGAGGTGCGACCAAGATAAATGGCTCTCTGGTGTGACCAAGACAAATAGCACTCCCCCCACCATCACCCTGGTGGTCAGACCAGGATGCAGAGATATGCACACTCATAAGTGTCCTGGCTTCACTTCTCTAGAGAACTCTGCCTACTACTACAACCTTTTAGAAATTATTTCTTCTCCATCTAATAAGTTTAGGCTGTTTGTGAAAGATCAGTCTATAAATACCTATGTATGGGGATAAGTAAAATATTATTCATCCTGGAACTCTAGTTCATACAACCTGCACTGGTTTATTCCAAACAAATATGTTTAAACTTATCTCTGTGACCAGTGAATGGTTGCAGACAAATTGCCCACTGCCATCACGTTGATTGTGACTCATAGGACCCCTGGCTGGGACACTGCTGCCAGCCTAGGAGGTGGTTGGAGGCAAGGCAGCCTACCCAAGACGAAGTATTTCTGCTGACCACATGCTTCCAAATGCAGGGGTGGTTTGCATGTATTGTCAGATCTGCATAAAACTTAGAGAACAGGTTTTATGTTACTCATCTGACTTCATTGATATAAATTGATCAATACTTTCATAGGTGTTTTTTTTTACTTTCATAGGTTTTTAAAAAATCACTAATTATGTTATTATATTCCATCAAGTTGATTCTGACCAGTGGTGAGATTTAAATAAATTAACAACCGTTATGTTGCCCTAATGATTTTAAGTATAAAAAAGAGATATACCAAAAGGTAGTTTATTATTTCGTACAGTTAACATTTAAATAACAACAATAAAAGAAACACACAAAACTGGATTATAAGAGTTTTAAAATACTAATGAGAAAAATATAATAATGCCCGACCAAAAAAAGCCAATAAAACTGTTACTTAAGATATTTCCATATTGCTTCTTGATTGGCACCCTCACTTTTAATCTTCTTCATTTCTATCTGCACACCATCTGCTGTATGATTTATCCCTGCAGGACCAGGGTCCCATTCCTTTAGAGACAGGCCAACTAGACAATAGTCATTGTGTTTCATATATTGGACGTAGGTGACTTCTCTTCTCTGAACATATGATGTTCATATTTGAAAACACCCTTTTCACTTCTGTTGAACTTACAGCAAATGTTCTGACAATATTTTTATTAGCTTTTTCAGGAACACTTTCAGAAATTTCATAATTCTCTTGGGGATTTGGGTCATAATGCAAAGCTGAAATGAATGACAGCTGAAAAGTGCTTCTGGTTGTTTGGCACGTTTTCTCTTTATGTCATTTGTTTGTTCACCAAAGTAACAAGCACACAGGAATACACATTTATTATTTCATCAAAAGTATAACGAGTTTTATGAAATGAATAAATAAAGATCACAAGCATACTTCCATCAAATTTTTATACCTATGAACAGAATGAACACTGCTAAGGGCACTTAGGTGAACATTAAACGAATAAAGAATTTAACTTTTTTTATTTCCACATTAGTCAGTTGCCCAGCCTTAGAGAGAATTGTGGTTATAAATGCCATTATAATAATTGGTTCATTGAACTCGCCAAAAATATCAGATATTGGTTCTGCCAAACTGGTGTTAACTGGCTGAATCCCACCACCAATTCTGACTCAGGGATGCTATGTGAGGTAGCAGGATCCACTGCCTGATCTTCAAGATCCTCATAAACGTGTTTAGGCTCATTATTGCAGTCACTATGTAAATCCATCTCTTTGATGGTCTTCCTCTTTGTCCTTGACCTTCTACATTGCCAAGCATGATGTCCTTTTCCTTTTGGCACTATATCTGACAATGTTCCACTGTTAGTCATAAGATATTTTTTGGTGGCAAATCCCTCAGAAGTGAACAGATATTCCTTCTTTGTAGTCTGTTCTTAGGCTGGAAGCTCTGCTGAAACCTCTTCCCTTTGGGTGACCCTGCTGGTTTTTAAATTACCAGTGATATAGCTCCCAGCGTCACAGGAACGCACAAGCCATTAGAGTACGACTAACAAATAGTAGTTTTATTAATAACCTGAATTCATTTATACAAGTCAATCAATAGGTTTGTTAAAGCACTTCGCATACTTTCCACTAAAAAAGCAATAAAGGTTCATTACATTAATTTGAAAAAACATAAAGTAAAAAGAAAAATAAATTATTCTTATTCCTATTGCTATTTAATGTATTACTTTCAGAATTTTGTCTTTTATACCTTTTTACATACATTACAATAACAGTAGGTGCATTATTTTCCATTAACTTCATAACCTAGTATTTTGTTATCAAATTTTTTATAAACACCATTTTAATAACACATTTAATACTTTAACAAAATATTGCACACAAAGATATTTACATCCTTATTTGAAATGTAAATATTTAAAGTACCCAAATATATAAAACTAGGATTTTAACAATCCAGTAGATAAAATAACACATTTTCTAGACACCGGTCTTCCTCTTTACTCAGCCACTCCAATCTATCTAATGGGTTCATCAACAAAACGGTAGTAATGGTAGGGATAGAGTGCATGCAGAGGCTCAGCTGAGTGCCCAACCTGCCAGCAACAGCGACAGATACTGAGTCCACAACATGGGACCATTTCTCAGGGAGATCAACCAGCCACTGGGGCAAGTTGATTACATTGGGCCACTTCCAACATGGAAAGCACAATGTTTTGTTCTTAATGGAATATACACTTACTCTTGATTTCATATCAAACCATCCCCACATGAAATGCTCCTGCCAAACCTAGCATCTAAGGACTTACAGAAGGCCATCATCTTGGGATCACACACAAAATCACGTCATATCAAGGAACTCACTTAACAGCAAATGAAGCGTGACTATGGGATGTTCATGGAATACATTGGTCTTACCATGTTCCCTGTTACAGTGCCAACTAGTTGGCAATACCTTGGAAGGATGGAGCAATTTCTTCAGGAGGCTGTATATTCACTAAATTAGCATCTAATATATGGTACTTTCTCTACAACAGCAAAAATCTATGAATCCAGGAACCAAGGGGTGAAAATGGGCATGATACTACTCACTATTACTCCTAGTGACTCACTTGCAAAAATATTGTCTCTGCAACCGTATGCTCTTCTGGTATGGAGGTCTTAGCTCCAAAGGGCGGAATAGGCCCACATGTAAACACAACACTTATTCCATTGACTTGGCAGTTAAGACAGCCTCCCAGCCACTTTGGGTTCCTCATGCCTCTGGATCAACAGGGAAAGAAGGCAATTTCTGTATTGAGTGGTGTGATTGATCTTGATTCCCTAGAGGAAATCAGATTGATGTTTACATAATGGAGATAAAACAAGATTATG